CCCCCCCCTCCAGGCGGCATGACCATGTAGCAGAAGGCGATCGCGCACAAGACTTGCGAAGGAGGCGGTCGCGGGTAATCGTGTTTAGAAAACTCTGGGCGGGCGTGTTGGTGGCGTTGTTGCGGTTTTGTACGAAACACACAGGGTAGGTCTATTGACACCGTCGTAAGAATTGGATGGCTGACCCGTAGTCTTTCGTAGCACAAGTGTCGCGTCATCGATTGTGTGACGATAGTTAATCGTCGTTCAAACGAGCGAATTAGCAGAAGTCGAGCTTGATCGAAGTCAGGGACCGGATGTTTCTTTCGGTTCCTAGTCACGACGAGTCGCTTTTGCGAGGATCTACAGTAGTTGTCGGGTACACTCGTTTTCTGGATTTCCGTTTCGTCTCATCGTGCACGTATTGAGTAGAAAGCATTGGGTAGTCTCTGGTGGGTCTGACACCCGCCTTCGTGATTGGATTGTAGGTGATTTGGCACTCGAGCGATCCCGGTCCTAGCTCTCGTTGTCTTTCGTCGGCCAGCGAAATGTGTTGGATGATTGTTGTTGATGGTAAGTGCAGAAGCACCGCAGCGGCGGCGTAAGAAATAGTGCCTCGCAGGAAGGCGTCATGTCACCAACGACGTGATACCTTACCATTTTTCTCCCACTGGCTAACCAAGATCGAGTTATAGCTTCCCGTATTTGAGCCGTGGCGCATATATATTGAGTATCTGCGTTGTCGTTGTTGATATACTGGCACGCTTGAGTGCGAATCAGGCAAAGGGTGGTGTGATCTGATGGGCAACGTACGGTGGTAAAAGTCCATCCCGTTTATTTTGATGTTGTCCGCTGCGACCAGACCCGCGCTTCTTTTTGGCACTTGAGCTTGTCATTGCACGGTGTGAGGCGGTAATCTGGAACCTGACCAAGGATATTTTAGGCATCTCCGACGTTCATTGCACTAGACTGATGAAAAACGCGTCGCGGCGACGTTGGGGTCTGATATGTATTGAACATCACCGTAGAGTGTTGCGATCGAGGGAGATACCACAGAGAGTGATAGCCGTAACTACATGCGCTTTGCAACTTCGTAGTGAACCAGTCAACATGTGCCGCACATCGTTTTTCACAAAGTGACGATCCTTAGTGGTTCATACTGCCGTCAACGTAGCGGGCGCGCAACCCTTCTCCACCGCTTAAAAGAGAGATTTCTCCCAACACATCAATTGCGTTGTAGACTGGACTTGAGCCCTGAGAGCAGGAGGCAGTACGCGGGAATGAGTGATGGTGGTGGGGGCTGATACTGACTTTCGGGAGAGCCCCATCTTCCACAACCGTCTTCTTGCAGCTGGGCATGGCGTCCAAAATTCTACCCGTGATTGGTAGCTTGAGGAGACAGCTTGGGCTCCCCTCGTTACCGCAATAGTCTGTTGCCGTGGTTCACAACATTCCCAAATATTTGTAGTTGTGAATGGTCATGGGCATGCGTGGTTACTTACGAAGAGACAAAAGCAACAACTCATTGATGTAAGGTTATGTAGCTCGAGACAAGGAGAAAGGATCGTGGACTACAACTGAGAAAACAGGACCAAATCTATCCGAAAGAGGTACTCATTCATGAGATGTATTTCACCGAAAACTAACAAAGAACCCGTTGATTGGTGGTTGGAATATCAATATTGGACAGGCGCCAAACCGTGTTTGACACAGACTTGTAAACATCAACATTCCAGTAATAACGCGTCTGGTGTACTTGTTTTGTTGGTGTTCTGTTTTCCAAACCGACGGCAAAGAAGAGCAGGAGCACAGACGCGTGCGTGAGTGCGCCGGAACTGGTGTGCTTCCTATGAAACAAGTGTCCAGTCAATCACCTTGGTCCGTATGCTATACTGACAAGCACACTTGATACACAAGATGTGATGTGGCCAGTTGGATACCGATTGGAACATGCAGCAGGTTGGGGTGAAACGGGAACCTGGAAGCCTGCTGGTTGGACCACAATGCTACAATCCGCGGTGTGGTGAGACTGTTGGCTGCACACACACGAAGGCGTACAATCTTGGTGAGATTGCGGCCAGGTTGTTGGTGCTCCCGCACCCTGTGCTCTAGTCTACCTCTATCCATCCACCTGTCGTATTCTTCGGCAGGACAAGACTCCACTCACCGTGAACTCTCCTCTCTCGTGCCTTATATATGTTCTAGACTGCTTTTTGTAGGTGTTTGACTCGCCGTGCCGCTCGGATGTATGTGTGTTGTAGGCGGGGCGGGGGTAAAGGCTGGGGTGTATATGCTACAGGCGGCAGCCTGATCATGATTGATGATTGAAAATGTACCGAAGACTTGTTGCGGCTCATCGCAGCGCCTGTTCGTTTCATTTCAAGAGAAACTATTCGGGAACTAAACCGAGTAAATAGGCTCCTTTCCCTTCTCACCATATAGCGACTTCAACGCATCCCTTCGACTACGGTATTACCTCAAACGGGTTGTCTTTCAGTGATTGCATGTGTATTTTCCAAGAATATCTGCGATCGGATGTGCCCAGAACCTTCAGTCATGTGGTACACGGCACGCGTTCCCCCGATCTCCCGCCGTTGAAAGTTGGATGTGGGCGACGGTCCCTCACACGCCAAGATCTTGCAATTCCAAAACCGTGGAATCCTCCCCCCCACTCTGCTGCGTTACTGCTGCCGCCACCGCCGCAGCTGCTGTAGGGAAGCCCTGCACCCTGAGCGTCTGAGCGCTGACTTGCTGACGTGGTGAATGTGCAACGGCGCAACGTGCCAACGTGCCATCGTGCCAACCCGCCGCTTGCAAAAACCCGCCGCGTTCTATTTTGTAGTTAGTAACGATGTTGATCATGACAGTCCCGAGCAAAAAAAAATATACGTATGCATAGTCTAGATCTAATAAGGAGCAAAGAATGGGGAATGGCCTAGTTTTTTCCCGTGGCATGGTGGTTGTTTGTGGTTGCGTACAAGCAGAACAACAGCTTCTGCACGTCGACCATATGGGTCGGAATGAGTCCATTCAGCGCATTCAGGATATGGGAGCTACTTACAGCAGTTATTGTTCTGTGGAGTCCTCGGTGTAGACTACTAACTGCTGTAGTTGCGGCGGCAAGGCAACTTTCAGGGTTCGACTGCCGTACGCTGTCTTGCCAGCCAGGTGCGGTCATCACATGCGTGTGTGCCTAAAGTACTCTTATAGTCCCAACTGCTTAACCTGAAAGTTAGTGCTGGATATTAACAACTACAAGCAGGACTCAACTTTGGTTTGACTTCAATTTTTGTATTTTTCGATGACTTTTTACCTTGCTTTACCTGGCCTCTCAGTTACTCTCTCCCCTTCCTTGTCGAGTCCTCTCAGCCCAGCGAGCGTTTCCTTCCTCAAACATTCTTCTCCAGAAGTTCCAAGTCTGCCGAGCCTCCCATGGATATGGAAAATTGGGCACACCATGGATCATTGGACCACTGGGCACACCCGCCTCTTCCCATCACTCCTCCAGAATGCCTGTCCTTTCCACTCTTTCCTCTCCGTATGCAAAATAACTTTTCAGGTTTCCTCTTCAAAAATCCATGAAACGCCTGCAAATCTCAGTGTTCCGAGGTCTAACTCCAGTACGAAACTGCCAACGCAAATCAATCGTCCGCTCACCCCCCCTCCAGTACAATGTTAGTGTCTGAGATTGTAGCCCTTGCGATACACTACAGATTAGCTGTCCATGATTTTCCAAACGATCCCTCCAAGGGGGGTGGGTGTGTTCGGTATGGTACGGGTACGTACGCTCGGTAAGGTATTGAACCACTACCGAAGTCAATACCGGGACCCTCGGTATTTGTCAAGGGTATACCGATATTTTCGGTAAGGTATTGAAATATTACCGAATCATACCGAGGTTTTCGGTAAGGTATTGCATTAGACTATTACCGAAGCGTACCGAGACTTCAATAAGGTATTGAAATTTTACCCAAACATGCCGAGGTTTTCGGTAGGTATGGAAGTCTGTACCGGACTTCTCGGTTGGTACGGAGGTCTATAACGAGCGTACCGAGATATTCGGTAGGGTATGGAAGACTGTACCGGTACCAGTACCGGCACGCCGGTATTTGCCAAGAGTATGCCACTACCGAAGGTATTTTACAGCAGTTTTGAGAGCGCGGTGGGGATCGCATTTAAATTTTCCACCTCAAAAATCCAGGAAACGCCTGCATACATATCTCAGTTTTCCACCAAAATCTAACTCCAGGACGAAACTTCAATCGCAAATTAATCGTCCGCGCACCACCCCTCGTATACAATGTTGATGTCAGTATCTGAGATTGTAGCCCTTGCGATACTCTGCAGACTAGCGGTCCGCGATTTTCCAAACGATCCTTCTATCATCGAGATCGGTGCGCTACAAGCAGGAGTTTTGCAGCTGCTGTGCGGTCCGATTTTGAAACGCTTCAAGCATACAGCAACGGCGAATCAGCGCCTATGTGAGTCTGTGGGGCCGCGAACTTCAGCGCAGCTCTTCCCTCACATGTTCTTCTCGTCGCCACGGTCGATATGCATGCCTGCGGTGATGTATATGTGAGTCTAGCCAGAAGCAAAGGTGCTTGAAGCGTTTCAAAATCGGACCGCACAGCAGCTTCAACAATCGTCGTCTAGCTTGTAGCTCACAGATCTCGACGATAGACGGATCGTTCGGAAAAAACGGACCGCAAATCTGTAGTGTATCGCAAGGGCTACAATCTCAGATACTGACATCAACACTGTACACGAGGGGGGGTGCGCGGCGGTTTGATTGCGATGGCAGTTTCGTACTGCAGTTATGCTTTGGAGAACTGAGATATGCAGGCGTTTCCTGGAACATTGAAGAGGAAACCTACCAAGCCTCCCGCGGTCTTAAGGCTTCCCCCCCCGCCCCCCAACTGGGCGGGCGGCCATAACGAGACAGATGGCGGTGAGGGTTTAGGAGGAAGCGAAGTATTATAAGAAGAAGGAAGACGACCGTACTCTATTTGTGTTGTACTTGTATAGGTGGCAACCTAATTCTATAGACGTCACAGAAAGAGCCGAGCAGTTGTGAATGTGTCTGTGTGTCGTTTGAAAATCTTCAACCATCATCACAACAGCGAGCGTGTGTTGCGAGCTGCTTGTTACAACGAGCAAAATGTGAGCGGGTGCAACGAGCCTCTTTCTACCCTCCGCCTGCTGCTGTTTGTGCCGCATGTAACGTGTGGGCTCCTTCTGGCGCACACACACGGTTGTGCTTGTGCCGTTCGCATGCGCATGAAGCCCTCGGGGTAGCTCACGGGGCGCCCGGCTAACCAGCAACTGTTCCAAAAATATCGTTGTGTCATAAAAGCAACATACAAGTTCCTCCCGATCCAGCGGACTTCGGGGTGACAAAAAAGGCCATCAACATGAATCAGAATTTGATTTACTGTTTTTACTTAGAAAACTCCGTGCTCGCGATTGGTGGTATACTTGAAGTAGGGACGGCTCGAAGCCAAGAAGAGTCGCCGTTCAGTGCACCATAGTCGACAGCAGAAGGTAGCAGCAGGCAGTTCCTGATACCGACTCAAACCCATACGCGCAGTCGGTACTGGGCAGCACCAAGAAACGTTGATGCCCAGCGATACGCATGAAAGAAGAAGAAGCCAAATATATACACACAAAGAGATGGCATTACGGTCTGGAAGATCCAAAGCAAGACATGGCACAGGTACACGACATAACCCAAACGCACAGTCGGCATTGGGCAGCGCCAAGAAACGTTCATCCCCAGCGATATGCATGGAGAGGAGAGCAAGCACATGTGGAGCTACGCATGGACAATCATACTTGCATAGCCCTTGGTCATGTACACGACCACTCATTCAACAAACTTCAAAACACCCTCTCTAGAAAGTGCCATACCACCTCTTTTACAATTTCGCGGGCTTCCCATCCGCGTCAATGAGCACTCTTCAACTCGACGAGAAAGAAAAGCGCCTATTCACGTCAACTCAATAAGCAGCACCCACTCAATTCCTTCCTTCGACTGCTCAGCAGCTGACAACAGCGGACCTCACATCACTGGGGCCACACCCCTCCGGCGCGGTTCTTCTATCTTGAATAGAGAGCGCCGCAGACGGAGATGTAGCATCGACTGACGTAGGGCGTGGCTGCTAGGTAATTGCGCAGGGCATTCCTGATCCTCAACCTGCCATCACTGCTGCCCCCCTCTCACACAGCTGCTCGGTCTGGGTCAGGCAAGAGTACTATACGCGACGCGTCGCAACAACTCCTAAGAGGTTCGGAGGTGCCTTCCTCTTCTGCTGACCAGAGATCAGCGCCACAGATACCCCCCTCTTCCCCCCAGCAGATTGGTTGGCTTCTACACAAAACTCCCTCGGCTTCCACCACTATTTGTCCACAGTCATCTCGTCCCAGGGTCTTGGTACTGAACGCCCTGTTATCGATGCTCCCAAAATATTCCCGCCTTCTCTCTGCCGCTGCATACAACCGCAAACAGAAAACAACGCGGCGCCAACTTCACTACGCATGGTCTATTTAGGTGCTCCTGCTCCTCACCATCTGTTGCTGCTACCCAGTAGGGCAACTGCTATCCCCCCCCACCCTCCCTCTCAAAAGCCGATTTTTCGGCAACTGTAGACTCTCGCCACTGTGACCTTAAACCATCGTCGCTGCCTGCCGGCGTTCCCTCCGTGATTTCACGTTGAAATCTGCAGTCAATCCTCACAATATATATAATATATATGTGGAATAACTCAGACGACGACACACACAATTTGGCAGGATGTTCTGCCCGGAAAAATGCGTCATGTTGTTCTGTACCGCATAACGGCAACACCTCCAAATAGTAGTTGCATCTGCGCACCATCAGAACAAATGACAAACACCAAAGGGCTTTCAACACATCGTAGGGGTAGCCAAGTGGTCGATCGGCTGTGGACCCCTCGTCACGGAGCTCCTGCACACGAAGTCGACCCTCACGTCGATCCCCTCAGCCCGAACGCATCAAAAGCTGCCCAGGTTTCAGACATATCCACCATCTCCCCAGAAACCCGCGCCTTGTCCAAGGCGATTGCAACGAGCCCGGCCTCAAGCGCATCGACTATGCCCACGGGCAGCTCTATGGCCTCGCCCCTCAGGAACGCGGCGACGTCTGCCACCATCAGATCATCGGCGCCGTAGTGCGCCGCCTTCTTGGCCTCGTCGAGGTCGTTGTAGTCGTGGTCGGCGATGACGCTGCCGTCCCGGAGGGTGGCCTTAAGGTAGCC